ATTTAAGACTGGCATTACTTACGTTTAAAATATTGGCAAGGTTAAGTTCGAGTTGGTCAGTGTCACTGCTATAGCATTTAATAAGAACTGTTATAAAACAAATAACGATTGTTTGGAACCATTTTACATGAAAATATAATCCAATCGATGTGTTCAATTCTGTGCAGGTAATTTAACCTCCAAATTTATTGTGCAATGAACTGGAATGTAAGACTGTTTCACTTTTAACCGCATTCAGTATTGCTTTCTATTGTCTTCGCGACGCGGTTAAAAATGAATCTAAGGCTAAATATTATATTGACTTCAGCGTTTAGCGAAACAAATGTTAAACTAAACGCTCGAATAAATACTGCAATATTATTTCAGAGTTCCTTAATGTTTTGTTTAATTCCGAATTTATCGATATTTTAATATCGACATCTAAGCTACTCTAGTTCTGTCAAATATGACGTTTTTATTTTTTTAATTCTTCGGACACTGTAATGATATTGCAATATTGGTATTGGGTGGATTTGTTAAAAGTTTACAAAAAGAGAATGGTATGTGATTATTAAGATACGTCACAGTGTGGCTTCTAGTAGCATATTCGCTTCTGTGTGTACCCTATTGAAAATAATACTTTAAGTTTCAAACGGTATCACCGCCATTTAAATCGCAATTAGGTATTTTTTGCCTGTCCAAATGGCTGTCAAAATGGCAAATTGCAAAAATGGCTGTCATATCCTTTGAATTCGGGGCAGAAATATATTCATGTCTAAGAAAAACACAATTTTCGACTTGTTTATGATATCAACCGTAGCGGATGTAATTATTTTTTTCATTGTAATTCAAAGTAATATTTCAGCGTTATTAACGCTTAAATGTGATTTAAAAAAATAACAAAATGTTAACTACAAATAACGTTCCTCTTCAGAGCGCTATTTTTACAATAATTAGTTTCTAAACGTATCTGTCATATAAATGTCACAAGAAACATTACTTAACATAAGGCTGCCACTAGACGATCAATCCGGCGTCAGTTCAACTCGCGAATTTGGTTAGATCGATAATTAAGTGCTAATTGATGCTAGAATGATTCATGCGTCTTTTATATTGCAGAATAAGTTCTTTTTGCTTTCAGAAATCTGATGGCAATCTACATCTTGCAAATGTCATCAATCTGTCAACGACAATTTTTTCAATTTTTTTTTCTTATTACCTCGTGTGAAATAAGATTTTATTGGAAAATTTGTCATCGTAGTATATAAGTATTCAATAAATCTGTACATGAAATGATTTCCAAATTTTATTTCCATTGTAAATTTAATTTCGGTAATTAATATTAAATCATTGTTATATTTTAAGCTGTTCATGTTTCTTTTCCTAAGTCTTCTAAAAATTTTTTAATCTTGTCATTACGTGTCAACCATCTAGTTATATTTATTAAGCTGTTTTCCTAATTTTGCATCGGCCAAATCTTGAGCCAAAACTGACACCACATTGATCTTCTTTGAATTACTCTGACTGGACTAATAATTAATATATTACCTATATATGTATTAAAATAATATCTTAATGATTTATAGTCTCAGAGACCGTGACAAAAATGTGCAAGTTTCTAAAGCTTGATATTTCAGTGTTAATCTATGTTACGATTTTTGGTATTCCACATTGCCCGGCCGCCATCAGGTGTTCTAGCACTTGACCTCCGCACCGGTACTTCAACATACTGACAACATAATGTTAAGCTTTAGAAAGCTCTTGCACATTTTTGTCACTAGCTCTTCGTCTATTAGTTTTTTGGTGGTATTGGGTACTGGTAACATTAAAAAATACATATATATAAATGGTAGATTAAATTCTTTAAATTAATAATAATACAAACACAAGTTTTTGAATGACCGATATAAATTGACATATTTGCCATAATGTGATGAGGATCCTGTAATTGATATTAAACTCTATATACTAACAGGGTTTGTAATTATCAAAAAAAATACTTTTTTGATAATTATTGATAAATATCTGATAATAATCGGTGGTTACCGGCAACAAATTTTAAAATACAGAAAAGCATAAATAATTTTGATTTTTGTTGCTTTAAATTATTAAAATATATTCAAACCACATTGAATAAAATGAAAATCGTCCTAGTCACTAGGGATGATGACTGGGTAAAAAAAATGCAATTCTATTTAGTCCGTCAGTCAGATAATAGAAAAATATTAGATACGTATTTTTTTTTACTTCAATTTAACAAGATATAGCTTAGATAACAGGCATTAAAGTTGAGGAGTGGGGGCTCGCTACGTCACAGTTGAGTAGAAAACGTACCATAACGTGACGTCATGCGAAATGTCGACTCAATGTAACGCTGTAATTTTATGACCGAAAAAATAAAAAAATACGTGTTTAATATTTTTTAACACTCTACCTGACGGACAAACAAACAAAAATTAGTCATCATCCCTATTTTCTATATCAAAAAAGCCATATTTGATCTTGGTAAAAGATTATTACCCTTTAATAACAAGTTCTAAAGTACGCAAAGAGTTTGTGTGGTGTTATACAAATTATTAAGATTATTATCATTCCGAACCCTGCTATGTAAGTGATAAACTTTATTGTTCTAGTACCCAAATATGTAATGAGAAAAACTACGAAAGTTGACGAACGAAATAAAGGAATATAGAATTAGATGTTGTTTCATTAATTTGTTTTTTTTTTTATTCACTTACAAACCAAACTAGTTTTCCTCCAACTTCACTTGCGTGGTTTCTAGGGAACTGTTCAGCGGGATAAAAAGTAGCCCATATGTTTATCCTGGCTTAGGATTTATTTAATATTTCATTTGGATAAGGTTTCATATCACGACACTGATATAATCACAATGCCAATTTAAATAGTAAAAAATGGTTAGTATGGTTAAAAATTGTATTTTTAGGTCCCTATACAAACCTCTGCTTATTTGCTGTTTTCCTGGATAAAATATGGCCTATGTTCATCACATATTATGTAGCTTCCCGTGGGTGTAAGAATTCTTAAAATAGGTTCAGTAGTTTTGGAACTCATCCGATGCAAACTATTAAATGTTTCCTCTTTATAATATTAGTAAAGACATAGACAGAGTTTCATGGTGAAGTCGTGAGTGTTTCCGGTCTTCAACTTTCTCAAAGGTCAGTCGTAGGATGGGTCCTCAAAAATTTATTCACAAAAATTGACACTACATGCTTTTGTAGTTGTAAACACCTACCAATCCGCAATGGGCTCGCTCGCACGGTGAATTATGTCAAAATAATATGATTATTGATATAAAATAAAGTAAAGTCAATAAAGTTATGTCGATGTTAGTGTATTGGTGTCGGTGTGATTTTCAAACATCATCAAAATCAATGAGGAAGTATTTAAAAAAATACGAAAGCACTAAATAAGCACCTCCACTAGATGGCGACTCTAGCAAAACTTGATTTTTGCAGGAAACGAATGGATCAAAGACAGTAATTTCCGTTCCTTTTAACTAACATATTAAAAAACTGAAGTTTGCAAAGTTCGAAATTTAGATATCAATACAAATACGAAAAAGTACAAATAGAATATGAGTTGTTTATTGAGTTTTGAAAACTAATTCACTTTTAGATATGAAAAAAAACCAGAAGGGTTGTCATGGAGAAATCAAGAACGTACCGTAGCGACATCTAGTTTGATTTCGGGAACTAATGTTTTTTTTTTAAATACTTCCTCATTGTGTGAGTGTCGAGACATCAATCGTGACATCAACTACGTCAGTGTCGGTGACGTCGATGTAGTTGTCGACGTCTGAGCGCGTGTCGTGGCATCGACGTCAGTGTCGGTTACGTCGTGAGCGTCGTGACATCGACGTCGATGGGAGTGTCGTGACATTTGTGTGAGTATCATGGTATCGACGTCGATGTCGATGTATCGTCGTGAGTGACGACGATGTGAATGTCGTTACCTCTGTCCGAGTGTCATGACATCGACGTCGATGTCTATGTGAGTGTCGCAACATCGATTCGATGTGTGTCCGTGACATCTTTGTTAGTGTCAGTAATGGCAATGAGAGTGTCATGACATCGACGAGTGTCGTGACATCGACAGGGATCGGGACATCCACTTGCGTGTAGTTGAAGTCGATGTGAGTGGCATGACATCAACGTGAATGTCAGTGACATCGAGGTGAGTATCGCGACTTCGACGTGAGTGTCGCGACATCGACGTGAGTGTGAGTGTCGTGAAGTTTTTGTGAGTGTCGCGAAGTCTGTGTAAGTGTCTTGACATCGAGGTCGAAGTCGATGTGAGTGTCGGGACATCGACTTGTGTGTAGTCGAAGTCGATGTGAGTGTCGTATGAGTGTCGTGACGTCGATGTAAGTATCGTGATAGACTGAGGTAGAGTGATGTCGAAGAAATTGTCGTGACTTTTGTCAGAGTCGTGACTTTATGTGAGTGTCGTGACATCGATTTCAGGGTCATATGTCATACGTTAAAGTAATGTCAGTGTCATACGTTAAAGACATCAGCGTGTGAGTGTCGTGACGTCGATGTAAGTGTAGTGACTTCTGTGCGAGTGTCAGTCCCGATACTCGCAATGACGAAACGACAACTATATTGACGTCACCGACGCTGATGTCTTTAACGTCATGACACTGAAATCGATGTCACATTTACCGCCATGTGACGTCACTAATACCACGTGATTAGCGCCATTACATACAGCAGCGTTTTTCTCGCGATTTTGGCTATTTAAACTTTAACAATTATTTTCATCAAAAATAGAACAGATTCTCATGAAATATATTGACAGTGTGTTTATAATGTATCAAACAACCATTTTAAATAGTCTTCAGAATAGCGTCAAATACCCTATTATATCCTGTTTTGTATCTTAATAAATAAAGTCTAAGACTCAAAACCAGAGTATGTTTATTTCCGCCACTTATGTTTCACTACCGAAACTATCCAATGACGGAAGTAATGCGTAATGCATATTGCGTCACGCGTCAGGTGCGTACGGGCTGTGCCTGGGCTGCTGGTTCCTGCTGGTGCCGGTGCTGCTGGCGGACGCGTTCGGCACCGCGCGCATCGCCTCCTCCTACGGGCTCGTGCGCATGTTCCAGAGCCTCGCCGCCGTCTCCGTGCCGCCCACCGCCGGTCAGTGCCGCCGCCGTACCTTTTATACGTCATCGTCCCCATTGCGGGGGCTCAGGAACACTATTCTATTCTCGTCGAGCACTCGTTTTCACTCGATTTTCGTTCGACATAACAAATTCACCATTTCTATATCATAATAAATCAATAGTAGATATTGTACCAATTCGCGAAATAGCTTACGCCAAAAAAAACGACCTATTCTCGAAATGACCTATTCTTTAATAGACCTTTTCGCATAATACCTCATTCTGCGAAAGACTCATTCCTACGTCATCGTCGTCATCAGCCTTTTTACTTCCCCTCTGCGGGGGCTCGGGAGCACTATTCTTGAATCGTCCGTCTCGTTGAGCATTCGTTTTCATTAATTTTTGTTCGACATAACAAATTCGCCATTTCTAATGAGGAATTATTAAAAAAAAACATTAGTTCCTATCAAACTAGATTTCGCTACGATGCGTTCTTGATCTCTCCATGACAACCCTTCCGGTTTATATAAAAACGAAAGCACTAATAATGCCTCCACTAGATGGCGACTCTAGCAAAAGTTGATTCTTGCAGGAAACGAACGGACCAAATATAGTAATTTCCATTCCTTTTAACTAACATATTAAAAAACTGATATTTGCAAAGTTCGAAAAGATATCAATAGAAATACGAAAAAGTACAAGTAGAATATAAGTTGTTTACAGAGTTTTGAAAATTAATTTACCTTTATACATGAAAGAAAACCGGTAGAGTTGTCATAGAGAAATCAAGAAAGTACCGTAGCGACATCTAGTTTGATTTCGGGTACTAATGTTTTTTTTAATACTTCCTCATTCGCGCGCCAGTTCGACTCGCACTTAACTAGTTTTTTGGACGTTGTCTAAGCCTATGATTTTAAATATAATATTTTACAGGTCTCGTCAGAGATGTGACAGGTGGTTACTCATGGTGTTTCTACGGCATGGGATCCTGTATGGTGTTAGGTTCGATTCCCGTCATCGCCTTCTATATTCTAACCAAGAACGACGATTCAGACTCGTCGGTGGATTGAAGAAGTAAAAGATACGCTTATTGGACTGAAATTAAGATATAAACAATATTGGGTAGATTATCATTTTGGTGTAAAATCTATGTTTTAAAACAGAGATTATTATGCATGTAATGTGACGTACTAATAAAATTGGCGGGAAAATTATTGTCTATGTTTTTTTTTCTTTATTTCGAGTTAGTTCAGTTAATAACAATGATATTCGACACGAAAATTATTACAGTAAATCCTAACTAATATGCATTGTGAATATTCTTTAGCGCAGACCACAATTGCGTTTAAAATAGTCAGCTTTATTTTAATAAATGTAAGGTGTAAAATACAACGCATGCGTGGATATTGGTGGATCGTTTGATGGTCTGATTCTTGAAGCATTCTGATTGGTCGACATTAGACGTGCTTCAATATTTATTAGAGATGCGCCGAATATTCGTTCGGTAATTGGTATTCTGCGTATTCGGTATTTTTTTTACTATTTGTATTCGGCCGCATTATCGGTTTTACGGAATGATCGGTGTTAGTACTATACAGTGGCTACACGACACTGTACAGTACTAAAAGACAGAACTTCTTATGTTAGATTTATGTTATATTATAAGTCAAAAAAATTCTATGAAGAATATGTTCAATAAAGCTTATAAAATAAAGCAATTAAAATTCAAATCAACATTTGTTTTTAAACCTTGTCAAAATAGTAAAATGATAGGCCGAATATCCGGTTTCACTATTAGGCGCATCTCTAAAATTCACATTAAAGACACATCAGTTGTATCTTACTGTAAATTGAAAGATATTATTTGAGATTTACTGTATAATTGTTCTTAAATGTTGTGATTGATGTAATAGATATTTAATATTTAGTATTTTATAATAATTATCGAAACCGGTATGCAAATTTAAAGACATCGCTATCACAATTAAAATTAAAAAAAATACGTCAAATTGATCGATGTTTAAAACAAGGGAATTACAATTACTTATATAAATTCATAATAACTCTGAAACAGTTTTAGTTTGAATTTTCTTTTTAGAAAATAAGATAATAATATTTATTTGTATATTAAACTATTTTTTGCTTGTAATTTACATGTATACTACATGGTGTATGTAGTTAAACTAAAAAGTAGGTAGAATTGATTGATTAAAAAAATTCACATCGATCGAGTCCGCAATTGATTTTCAACTCTAAAGTTTAAAATCAATTGCGAAATTTGACAGATTTGTTTATAAAAATTTTGTACCATATCCTCATTCCTTGTTCTATTTGAGTGAACAGACGGGGAGGTAGATATTATGTTTTTAATTTTAATTTAGAGATGAGAAAGAGAACTCCTTTGTATCGATAATAATAAAATGGAGTGTAGAATTTTTGGTCAACATCGAGTTATTTGACCTACATAGGAAAATAAGAACAGAACATGTAGTTGACGTGTTTTGATGGAAAGAGTGTTCATTGCTAATTTAAAAGCCCTTTATTATTTAGATGTGAAATAAAACGCCAATATGCACTCATTAGATTATTGTAAACATCTAATAGTTTTCAAATTCTAATTACAAAGTAATCAAGTTTAACATTGGACATAGAAATATTAGCACAACTGTGTAATATTTCTGTCTCTCTTGTGCTGTTGATAATGCTATATTATTAAAGTTAGTAGCGGTTCCAGAATGCTAATTGAAGTTTTAGTTCTAGAGGGTTCGTAAGTGAAAATTTTATCATGAAAAGGGATGAACACGTAGAAACTGATGCACCTAAATGGGTTGACTTAACCTACTATCTCTAGCGTTTATGATACAATGTCACGATTATATCATTTTTCTTGGCATTAGGTGTGTATATTAATTTGAATCGAGTTTTCTTATATCTTTAATCTTTTTATGAATCAATGTTTTCATATTCTTTTAAATGATTTCCGTTTTTGACGTAATATAATTAACACATTTAACTATGGACTCTGTTTAATTTAAGTTTAATAAGTATCGTATCAAACATTGGACCAGCCATTTTTCAATATCAAAATTTCCGAATTTAAACAAAAAGGTATTTCGAATTAACCATAACTGTAGTTGAATATATTGATAATAAATCGATATGAGATAATAAATATATATATCTATGAAATTATATCCCTCTCCGTTTACAAAATGGATAAAATTAATGTAACAACTCTTAATTTTAAAATATAAAGGACTAATTGCAATATCATATGATGACAAATTGCAAGATACGACTTTATTGAGCCACCAGATTATTACATATGAATCCATGTACAGTTAAATATTAATTGCTTGGGAAGTTTTAAATAAGCAGTATTCAATCAAACTAAATTATCCTTTTGTATTTGTAAAAAGCCAAGTCCAAGGAAAATTTATTATATTATATTATTTTGAGATAATATAAAAATAGTACTGTAAAGTTACTGAGTTTATTTACCACAAAAATATTTTTTTCCGCTTACAATATTAGAGATTAATTGGAAAAAAAAAATTGATATAAATTTTACTGAAATGGGATTAACGAATGCGTTGTAACTCGGTCGAAATATCGGGAAATATAGGTAAGTAGGTGAAATATTCGCCTATACGTGTTAATACTCCTTCCTTACAATTTATTGCAATTACAATGTAAAGCGTAAGTTAAAAAATCTGACCTGTTGACTGCACTATTTAAGTAGTTTTAGTTTACCTTCCACACTTTTAGTTGTAATAATAATAGCAGTCCTTATCTATCAACATAAGATATATTACGTATCTTATTATATGCTATTACAGTGACGCCAGCAAAGCTTTCCTTGACATCTGCGAGTGAGAAAAATCGCTGCAAAAGTGGATATCAGACTACATTAATATGATGATCGGCATAAGCCACATATTTAATATAAAAAATATATATATATATATATTTATTCAACATACTTAGTACCAATTTGGTTAGTAACTTAAAATATCTGAGGCGTCACAATGCATTTAAGACTGGAGTTACTTACGTTTAAAAGACATTGGGAGGGTTAAGTTCTAGTTGGTCAGTGTCACTGCTATAGCATTTAATAAGAACTGTTATAAAACAAATAACGATTGTTTGGAACCATTTTACATGAAAATATAATCCAATCGATGTGTTCAATTCTGTGCAGGTAATTTAACCTCCAAACTTGATGTGCAATGAACTGGAATGTAAGACTGTTTCACTTTTAACCGCATTCAGTATTGCTTTCTATTGTCTTCGCGACGCGGTTAAAAATGAATCTAAGGCTAAATATTATATTGACTTCAGCGTTTAGCAAAACAAATGTTAAACTAAACGCTCGAATAAATACTGCAATATTATTTCAGAGTTCCTTAATGTTTTGTTTGATTCTGGATTTATCGATATTTTAATATCGACATCTAAGCTACTCTAGTTCTGTCAAATATGACGTTTTTATTTTTTTAATTCTTCGGACACTGTAATTATATTGCAATATTGGTATTGGGTGGATTTGTTAAAAGTTTACAAAAAGAGAATGGTATGTGATTATTAAGATACGTCACAGTGTGGCTTCTAGTAGCATATTCGCTTCTGTGTGTACCTATTGAAAATAATACTTTAAGTTTCAAACGGTATCACCGCCATTTAAATCGCAATTAGGTATTTTTTGCCTGTCCAAATGGCTGTCAAAATGGCAAATTGCAAAAATGGCTGTCATATCCTTTGAATTCGGGGCAGAAATATATTCATGTTTAAGAAAAACACAATTTTCGACTTGTTTATGATATCAACCGTAGCGGATGTAATTATTTTTTTCATTGTAATTCAAAGTAATATTTCAGCGTTATTAACGCTTAAATGTGATTTTAAAAAATCAAAATGTTAACTACAAATAACGTTCCTCTTCAGAGCGCTATTTTTACAATAATTAGTTTCTAAACGTATCTGTCATATAAATGTCACAAGAAACATTACTTAACATAAGGCTGCCAATAGACGATCAATCCGGCGTCAGTTCAACTCGCGAATTTGGTTAGATCGATAATTTGGTGCTAATTGATGCTAGAATGATTCATGCGTCTTTTATATTGCAGAATAAGTTCTTTTTGTTTTCAGAAATCTGATGGCAATCTATTTCATCTTGCAAATGTTGTCAATCTGTCAACGACAATTTTTTTTTTCTTATTACTTCGTGTGAAATATGATTTTTGGAAAATTTAAGTCATCGTGGTATGTATTCAATAAATCTGTACATGAAATGATTTAATTTCGATAATTAATATAAAATCATTGTTATACTTCAAGCTATTCACGTTTCTGTTCCTAAGTCTTTAATTTTTTTTTAATCTCGTCATTAGATAATGTTTAATTAGTTTGATGATAATTATGATTATATAAAATAAGGTAAAGTCAATAATGTTATGTCGATGTTAGTGTATTGGTGTCGGTGTGATTTTCAAACATCATCAAAATCAATGAGGAAGTATTTAAAAAAAAAACGAAAGCACTAAAAAAGCACCTCCACTAGATGGCGACTCTAGCAAAAGTTGATTTTTACAGGAAACGAATCGACCAAAGACAGTAATTTCCGTTCCTTTTAACTAACATATTAAAAAACTGAATTTGCAATGTTTGAAACTTAGATAATCAATACAAATACGAAAAAGTACAAATAGAATATGAGTTGTTTATTGAGTTTTGAAAACTAATTTACTTTTATACATGATAGAAAACCGGTAGGGTTGTCATGGGGAAATCAAGAACGTACCGTAGTGACATCTAGTTTGATTTCGGGAAGTAATGTTTATTTTTTAAATACTTCCTCATTGTGTGAGTGTCGAGACATCAATCGTGACATCAACTACGTCAGTGTCGGTGACATCGATCTAGTTGTCGTGACGTCTGAGCGAGTGTCGTGGCATCGACGTCAGTGTCGGTTACGTCCTGAGTGTCGTGGATTCGACGTCGATGGGAGTGTCGTGACATTTGTGTGAGTATCATGGTATCGACGTCGATGTCGATGTATCGTCGTGAGTGACGACGATGTGAATGTCGTTACCTCTGTCCGAGTGTCATGACATCGACGTCGATATCTATGTGAGTGTCGTAACATCGATTCGATGTGTGTCGTGACATCTTTGTTAGTGTCAGTAATGGCAATGAGAGTGTCATGACATCGACGAGTGTCGTGACATCGACAGGGATCGGGACATTCACTTGCGTGTAGTTGAAGTCAATGTGAGTGGCATGACATCAACGTGAATGTCAGTGACATCGAGGTGAGTATCGCGACTTCGACGTGAGTGTCGCGACATTGACGTGAGTGTGAGTGTGTCGTGAAGTTTTTGTGAGTGTCGCGAAGTCTGTGTAAGTGTCTTGACATCGAGGTCGAAGTCGATGTGAGTGTCGGGACATCGACTTGTGTGTAGTTGAAGTCGATGTCAGTGTCATACGTTAAAGACATCAGCGTGTGAGTGTCGTGACGTCGATGTAAGTGTAGTGACTTCTGTGCGAGTGTCAGTCCCGATACTCGCAATGACGAAACGACAACTATATTGACGTCACCGACGCTGATGTCTTTAACGTCATGACACTGAAATCGATGTCACATTTACCGCCATGTGCGTCACAAATACCATGTGATTAGCGCCATTACATAGAGCAGCGTTTTTCTCGCGATTTTGGCTATTTAAACTTTAACAATTATTTTCATCAAAAATAGAGCAGATTCTCATGAAATATATTGACAGTGTGTTTATAATGTATTAAACAACCATTTTAAATAGTTTTCAGAATAGCGTCAAATACCCTATTATATCCTGTTTTGTATCTTAATAAATCTTATATATATAAAAATTTTGTGTCACGATGTATGTTGCCAATAAACTCCAAAACTACTGAACCGATTTTAATCAAATTTCACATTCGGTCTAACTTACTGAATAGGATGGTTATCATCTGAATTATTTGCTTATGTCGTGAATGTAAACAAATAAAATGGACTAATTAATTGTTTCTTAAGCAAGTGTTTATTTACTGTTTAGTTTTATGAAGTTCTCATAGATGGCGATGTACGTTGATAAAATCTTCAATTAAATAGATAAAATTTTCAATATCGTTTGACATCTAGGTAGCAAATACACCCAATAGATGGCGTTGTGTCTAGATGGTAACGTTTCTTTCAAAGAATTTTGCGTAGATTACGTTTTCGATTAATTTTTTTGTAAACTTCAGAACTGATCTTTTTTCATCTGTATTTCAAATTGCATTGAATTGGATGAATATATCTAAAGTTACAAAGATACAGTGCTGAAACATATTGGACATTTGTTGGTTTTTTTGTTGTCCTATCTTCGAACTTAAACATCAAGGTAATTTCATCATCAGCTCAAAAAACAACAGCGTTTTTGGAAAATGTATGTTGCCCAAAGTAACTATATCGCGCGGACGAAGTCGCGGGCAAAAGTTAGTAAACAAATAAAGTCTAAGACTCAAAACCAGAGTATGTTTATTTCCGCCACTTATGTTTCACTACCGAAACTATCCAATGACGGAAGTAATGCGTAATGCATATTGCGTCACGCGTCAGGTGCGTACGGGCTGTGCCTGGGCTGCTGGTTCCTGCTGGTGCCGGTGCTGCTGGCGGACGCGTTCGGCACCGCGCGCATCGCCTCCTCCTACGGGCTCGTGCGCATGTTCCAGAGCCTCGCCGCCGTCTCCGTGCCGCCCACCGCCGGTCAGTGCCGCCGCCGTACCTTTTATACGTCATCGTCCCCATTGCGGGGGCTCAGGAACACTATTCTATTCTCGTCGAGCACTCGTTTTCACTCGATTTTCGTTCGACATAACAAATTCACCATTTCTATATCATAATAAATCAATAGTAGATATTGTACCAATTCGCGAAATAGCTTACGCCAAAAAAAACGACCTATTCTCGAAATGACCTATTCTTTAATAGACCTTTTCGCATAATACCTCATTCTGCGAAAGACTCATTCCTACGTCATCGTCGTCATCAGCCTTTTTACTTCCCCTCTGCGGGGGCTCGGGAGCACTATTCTTGAATCGTCCGTCTCGTTGAGCATTCGTTTTCATTAATTTTTGTTCGACATAACAAATTCGCCATTTCTAATGAGGAATTATTAAAAAAAAACATTAGTTCCTATCAAACTAGATTTCGCTACGATGCGTTCTTGATCTCTCCATGACAACCCTTCCGGTTTATATAAAAACGAAAGCACTAATAATGCCTCCACTAGATGGCGACTCTAGCAAAAGTTGATTCTTGCAGGAAACGAACGGACCAAATATAGTAATTTCCATTCCTTTTAACTAACATATTAAAAAACTGATATTTGCAAAGTTCGAAAAGATATCAATAGAAATACGAAAAAGTACAAGTAGAATATAAGTTGTTTACAGAGTTTTGAAAATTAATTTACCTTTATACATGAAAGAAAACCGGTAGAGTTGTCATAGAGAAATCAAGAAAGTACCGTAGCGACATCTAGTTTGATTTCGGGTACTAATGTTTTTTTTAATACTTCCTCATTCGCGCGCCAGTTCGACTCGCACTTAACTAGTTTTTTGGACGTTGTCTAAGCCTATGATTTTAAATATAATATTTTACAGGTCTCGTCAGAGATGTGACAGGTGGTTACTCATGGTGTTTCTACGGCATGGGATCCTGTATGGTGTTAGGTTCGATTCCCGTCATCGCCTTCTATATTCTAACCAAGAACGACGATTCAGACTCGTCGGTGGATTGAAGAAGTAAAAGATACGCTTATTGGACTGAAATTAAGATATAAACAATATTGGGTAGATTATCATTTTGGTGTAAAATCTATGTTTTAAAACAGAGATTATTATGCATGTAATGTGACGTACTAATAAAATTGGCGGGAAAATTATTGTCTATGTTTTTTTTTCTTTATTTCGAGTTAGTTCAGTTTTTCGACACGAAAATTATTACAGTAAATCCTAACTAATATGCATTGTGAATATTCTTTAGCGCTGACCAGACTTGCGTTTAAAATAGTCAGCTTTATTTTAATAAATGTAAGGTGTAAAATACAACGCATGCGTGGATATTGGTGGATCGTTTGATGGTCTGATTCTTGAAGCATTCTGATTGGTCGACATTAGACGTGCTTCAATATTTATTAGAGATGCGCCGAATATTCGTTCGGTAATTGGTATTCTGCGTATTCGGTATTTTTTTTACTATTTGTATTCGGCCGCATTATCGGCTTTACGGAATGATCGGTGTTAGTACTATACAGTGGCTACACGACACTGTACAGTACTAAAAGACAGAACTTCTTATGTTAGATTTATGTTATATTATATATAAGTCAAAGAAATGCTATGAAGAATATGTATTCAATAAAGCTTAATAAAATAAAGCAATTAAAATTCAAATCAACATTTGTTTTTAAACCTGTTTACGCGTCAAAATAGTAAAATGAAAGGCGATCATGCATCCTTTGTACGAAAACCGATGTAGCCAGTCTTGCCCCACTTTTAGTCCGCCGTACATCAGACGAATAATCAGACCAATTATACAAAAGATTGAGACACACTTGTATTTTAAACATGCCAATCAGAACGTTCCAATATAACTATAACCAATCACGTTCAACCATAACAGGCATCTATAGTGCGTAATAAACGTGTAAACGTCATTTTAATTTGACATATCACACTAGTGATTGACATAAAGTTATTCACTATCGATATTGAAAAACAACAAGTCGATTAATTGAAAGGATACTAGATTAATGATTTCTTTATATTATATTGGATATACATTGAATTGTATTAATTATATGAGACATTATCTTTTTTCTTTAGATATAAATTCTTAATTAGTTAAATTACTAATGAACTAACATTGAATCGGTACTAGTCGAGCTTAAATATTTGCATATAAATATGTTTGTTTATTAATAATAATAGTAGGTTTTTTTTTACGTTACGTTACTCGATTTCGTATCAAGTAAACAGATAAGATCGGCAACATCGCTTAAATGAAACTAGTAATATTGACAAACAATATAATGTAAATAAATATATACAAAATAAAAAAATACTATCGGTACAATAAATGCTGTTGGAACTTATCCTGAACAGACTCCGATGATTTAAAAAGTGTTGTTGTTAATGGTTCAAAATAATTAAAAAAAAAACTAGTTTTCTGTTACAATATTAAGAATATAAAAACAGACTTATTACCACACTCATTATTAAATTAATATGCAAACGCATTCCAAACGAAGTTAATATGGTTAATCTCTGATTAAATTTATTTTTTATTACCACTATTTTTATTGTCCATACTTTTATTTAGTTTTTACTACCTAACATACCAAGAATCGATTAAATGTTTCCAGGCACTTCACTACCCATTTACCGTAATCTATTATGTTGCTATTTAAAACGGTAATTTCGCGATATTCATTACATTACGTGCTTAGTAAGACGCAATGTAATAAATATGCGCACTTCTCCAGCAATGTATATTTTCTTGGAAATATTTTTTGAGATTCACACTTTTGATAACATTTCACGATTTTCGACTAAAAATGCTAAATTTGATAAGTGTTCTACTTAATAATGGAAAGAAATCCTTCCTTTGGACCTACTTGAGGATGGGCTTCTTGTTTTGCAATTAATAACTGCGAAAGTCGGCATTTTTAACACTTTTAGTGGCGTGTTTCACAGTACTTACAGCGCGCGCGTTCGTGAATGACTAAACATCGCGATCGCGTGGTGAAGTCATGATCCTGTACATTTGTCTAGGATCGTGGCTCTACTGCCACGCCCACAAGGCCCTTCATGCAAATTTAAAGACATCGCTATCAGAATTAAAATAAAAAAAAAATACGTCAAATTGATCGATGTTTAAAACAAGGGAATTACAATTACTTATATAAATTCATAAACAGTTTTAGTTTGAATTTTCTTTTTAGAAAATAAGATAATAATATTTATTTGTGTATTAAACTATTTTTTGCTTGTAATTTTCATGTATACTACATGGTGTATGTAGTTAAACTAAAAAGTAGGTAGAATTGATTGATTAAAAAAATTCACATCGATCGAGTCCGCAATTGATTTTCAACTCTCTAAAGTTTAAAATCAATTGAGAAATTTGTCAGTTTTGTTAAAAACTGTCGCGCTGTTGATTGTACGTGTTCCACTGTCTGTGATTTTTGTTTGTTTATTAACAATTTTGTACTATATCCTTCATCCTTGTTCTTTTTATGTGAACAGACGGAGAGGTAGATATTATTTTTTTAATTTTAATTTAGAGACGAGAAAGGGAATTCTTTTTTGTCGATATTAATAAAAAGGAGTGTAGAATTTTTGTTCGAAATCGAGTTATTTGATCTACATAGGAAAATAAGAACAGAACAAGTAGTTGACGTGTTTTAATGGAAAGAGTGGTCATTGCTAATTTAAAAGCCCTTTATTTATTTAGATGTGAAATAAAACGCCAATATGCACTCATTAGATTATTGTATACATCTAATAGTTTTCAAATTCAAATTACAAAGTAATCAAGTTTAACATTGGACAGAGAAATATTATACAACTGTGTAATATTTCTGTCCCTCTTGTGCTGTTGATAATGCTATATTATTAAAGTTAGTAGCGGTTCAGAATGCTAATTGAAGTTTGAGTTCTAGAGGGTTCGTAGGTGAAAATTTTATCATTTAAAGGGATGAACACGTAGAAAACTGATGCTAGGTGCACATGCAATGGGTTGACTTAACCTACTACATATATTATAATTAATATTCTTCGAGTTTTCGCCACGAATGCCTAAAGGGGTCAGAAAATAATTAGAAAGTCGTCTTTGGTGGAAAGTTTTAGTCGGCGAGTTATCAATAAATATTTAATTTAATTTATATAAAACGGAATTGATCTGTCTCTAGCATTAATGATACAATGTCACGATTACATTATTTTTCTTTGGCATTAGTGTGTATATTAATTTGAATCGAGTTTTCTTATATCTTTAATCTTTTTATGAATCAATGTTTTCATATTCTTTTAAATGATTTCCGTTTTTAGCGTAATATAATTAACACATTTAACTATGGACTCTGTTTGATTTTAGTTTATGTATCGTATCAAACATTGGACCAGCCATTTTTCAATATCAGAATTCCCGAATTTAAACAAAAAGGTATTTTGAATAAACCATAACATAGTTGAATATATTGATATTAATTTGATATATATATCTATGAAATTATAGCCCTCTCCGTTTACAAAATGGACAAAATTAATGTAACAACTCTTAATTTTAAAATAAAAAGGACTAATTGCAAGATATGACTTTATTGGGCCACCAGATTGTTACATATGAATCCATGTACAGTTAAATATTAATTGCTTGGGAAGTTTTTAGTTTTAAATAAGCAGTATTCAATCAAACTAAATTAGCCTTTTGTATTTGTAAAAAGCCAAGTCAAAGGAATATTTATTATATTATATTATTTTGAGATAATATAAAAATAGTAGTGTAATCAGTACAAAGTTACTGATTTTATAAACATCAAAAAAATTTTTTGCCGCTTACAATATTAGAAATTAATTGAAAAAAAAACTGATATAAATTTTACGGAAATGGGATTAACGAATGCGTTGTAACTCGGTTAAAAATATCGGGAAATATAGGTAGGTGAAAATATTCGCCTAATCGCAATAATACTCCTTCCT